GAGCTGCAGTGACGCATCCTAAAACCCGGAAGTAAGCTGCGCATGGCTTCCCTCGACAAAAAAGCAATGAGATTTCTCCATACGATTTTAGAAAATAGCTCCAAATAAGATCTGTGTGAAACATACCTGTTAGATAAATGCACGTTTTGTTCAGCCGGATAATATCCTACTTTTATCATTTTCGAATCATAAATCTATCGATTACATTTATGATAGACTTTTGAAACTACAAGAAGATAAGGAGGACTTTTACAAAAAACTTTTTGTCCAGAGGGATAGGCAAATGGACTTCATCTTCAAGTCAAGGTAAGACCGCAATTTTATTGAAAATGGGATCTTACTAAGAGAGAACAATTCAATATTTAAATGATAAAATTACATTTTTTGGGTATCCTTTTGTTGAACTGTCTGTTTCAAATTAATCGAAGCACCAGACCAAAAAAAGCTTTTGAAAATAATATATTTTGCGCAACAGTGGTAATTCAAGTTTAAAAGTCTCAAAATGCTACAACTACTGTCACAAACTGGATGAATGTGAAGTATTTTGTTAAAAGAGGATAAAAGCGTAATTAAGGAGCACTATTGGAGTGACTTTGATGGTTATTGGACTCAGGATTAATTCATTTGGATTCCCGCTGTATGAAGAAATTAAAGGACGACGCAAGTGGAAACAATTCACAAAGGGATTAAACTGTTTAAAACACATGCTCAAAGTAAGCCGATGTGTTTATGTAGATTCAAAAGTCGTAAATAATCTACAAAATGGAGGAGACCGATTTCATCGGAGCAACTGTGACAAATAATCCAACTGAAACCGGCATGGACGATGACTATGTTTTTAAAAATGCGCTTATCCAGAAAAGCCTGGTTTGGACACTTTACGGGCAGAAGAAACATTTCTATTAAAAAAAGAATTATACATTTCTGTCTTTTTATGCCTATAATAGCTACTAACTTGAATTTGTATTCAAATTAATTAATCAATTATTTTTTATATTTTATTGTAATGTAGAGATAAGGCTTTTAGTGACAATCATGTATTGCGTTACAATTATATGTGTGAAGAAAAAAAAAGTCTAAATATGATGTTTGGCCTCAAATCATCTGAGGCCTGGCGCCCCCCCTGCGATCTTTGCTATTTTAGCAGATCAGAGTCCGGTTGTTTAGTTCACTTCAGAGGTCTCGGACTGTGTTCACACCAACCCAAACGAACCGCACCAAGCGGCTAAACGCACCAGGGTTCGATTCAACCGGACTAAAAGGGGTGGAAAGGTTGGCAAAAAAATTCTAGTTCCAGATCTTTTTGGTGTGAATGCCAAATCCCAGGAACTATTGGAACTATTCCTGGGAAAAGTACTCCGGTGTGAAAGCACCTCATGACATTTTAATTTAAATGATAATGCTGACACAGCTTAGTGCGATCACTGCTTCACAAACATACACAAGCACACACAGACATACTGTATAGTAGCCGCCCCCCCCGGGGAGAGGCCAGATGCTCCCCCATCGATGCAGGCAGGTCAATGCTGCTCGGCATGCTGGGAGCTCACACTGTCATCCACCCTGCACTTACCAACGGCACTTTATATTCACACACTCTCAGACATGTGGCTGAACACACACACGGGAGAATGCAGCATCTCTTGTTTCTCAGTATGTGCTGATAAAGGCATGGGAGGCTGTGGCTCAGTGGATTAGTGCGCTGATCTTCGAATCAGGATAGCAAGTTCGAGTCCCACTGCAGTCAGCATGTCGTTGTGTCCCTGAGACACTTCACCCCAAATTGCTCCTGTGGGGATTGCCCACAGTACTGAATGTATGTAAGTCGCTTTGGATAAAAGCGTCTAACAAGTGTAATGTAATGTAATATTACGGTGCTTCTGGAAAACATTACACTCAGAACGCAAACTGAGAAATTATCTTTGCATACCAGCCCTCCAGGCAGATGGTGTTGTCAAATCACGTCTGTTAAAGATGAGTGAGCCAAAGCGAGCACAAACATGCTACCTCTCACATGTTGGATGACGTCACTGCGGATCACTGCTCCCTGATTAATTAAATAGTTGTGTGCCCTTGGTTCACTTTGCATATATATATATCTGTATATATATCTGTTGTTGACATTGATGAAGTGTTTTAATTTTCTACGATATTTGAAAATTGTTTAATTTTTTTTAATGCTGTCAAAATTATCGCGTTAACGGTGGTAATTAATTTGTTTAATTAATTGCGTTAAAATATTTAACGCATTTAACGCATGTGCAGAATGGCCCGCCCCATACGTGCCACCAGTGGCAGCGCCAGGGTATGGCTGGGGTAGGCTACACCCATACCAAGAAATGGCTTAGCCCCACCATGAAAAATGATGTTAAAGTAAGCAAAAATAAAGTCCGCCAACTCGCGCGGAGTAAATTGCACAGACAGCAGTTAGTAAGATTGATTTCAGTAGCCACTTGTCTGGAAATACCGAAGACCAGAAACGGTTTTGTCACGTGGTGATCGTCTTCTCAATAGAACATCTTTGATAATGTCTTCTGGCCAATCACAATCAAGATAACGGCGTGGTGTTGTTGCAGGAAGTCCCGACGGAGAATACTCCTGTAGTACAGGTAACACATAACTGGTACGCAGGTTATGTGCGTAATCTGAAATGCGTACCGTCACTTGTGTCACAAAGCGCATTTGCTTACGACAGAGTCGGTCTCCGGTCTCACAGACAGGGCTGCTGTTAACGTCGGTCTATACAACGGAATTGTGCCAAAACTACGCCAACCGGCTGCGGAGGGAGACTTCCCCCCCCTTCACTGGAGAACTGCGCTAAAACAGCTGATCACAACGTTCACACTCTGTGGTCACGAAGTACTCCACTAGCGCCCCCCCCCCCCCCGAATTTCCTGAAGTACTCCCCCGTTGATAAAAATCAACACGTAATGAATTAAGACCCCACGGTTTGATGATTGATAGGTGTGTGTGCTGTCTTTCATTTTGACACGCAGAAAAATGTTATAATAAACATACGTATGTTATGGATATATCCGCCTTCTTTCATTTATCTTTCCATTCCCACAACAATATACATAAAGAAATGACATATTTTGGACATAGTTCGAATGGTGATTAATCATGATTAATTAATTTTTAAGCTGTGATTAATCTTATTAAACATTTTAATCGTTTCACAGCCCTAATTTTTTTATGAATTGTTACAGTTTTCTATTAAATGTCTTGTTTAGTTAGTCAAAATCCCTAAGATGTTCAGTGTAATATGTTTATCAAACAGAACAGAAGGAAATCTTTTTATCTTAGATGAATAAAACAGCATTTTCTGTCCACTTATCGCTGCAGCCCTATTTATAAATGCACTCTGGTCCAGAGGCGCGGGAAGGTATTTTGAGTGGGGGTGCTGAGGTGCTGGACTCCAGTGAACACTATTACGGGCACTATAGAGCACGCACAAAAGCAATCCCCACACGCAAACACACAGAACACCCGCGACTGTTACAATGAAGGCTTGATAATCAGTTCACGGCATATAGGCAGGGGTAAAGTGCTATTTTTTACGAGTGGGGAGCGGACCTCACCTCCTCTAGGGAGGTCCGGGGGGATGTTCCCCCGGGAAGATTTTTTTTAAATATTGAAGTTGAAAGCATCAATCTGGTGCACTTTAAGAGCAACATTAAGAGATCTATGGATACATCTCTCAACACTCAGATGAAACACAACTGTAAGCAGATGTTCTTTTTCTTTATGGATATTTTACAAATCACTCTCCTTTCAAACTGTATTCTTGTTTTACTGCCATATAGTATTTCATAACTGTTTTTCCTTTATTCTCTTATTTGTTTTATAACTATAATGATCATATGAAGGTGTGCCGTGGAAATAATCTTTTGAATAATTTGTGACCAAACCGTTTGAGACCCACTGAGATAACTTAGACTAAAGTGAACTATCTAAACACTCAGAGAGTCCTTTAGCTCACCTGAGCCTCTCAGTCTGAGAGGAGAGGACTCTCCTCCAGCTTGTTGTGGAACCAACAGCTCTGTATGTCCGTTAGTGCAGCTAGCTAACCAGATGCTACAACAACGGTCCCTGCTGCTGGCACCGGTCCCCCTCTCTCTCTCTCTCGCTCTCGCTCTCTCTCTCTCTCGCTCTCTCTCTCTCTCTCTCTCTCTCTCTCTCTCTCTCTCCCTCTCTCACACACACTAAATGTGCTATGTCCGCACACACACACACACAAACAGAGCCGAGTTTGATACAAGCACACTTTTATTTCCATGCAACTCTCTGATTGGTCTGGTGTCTTGCCTCTGTTGCATTCACCGAACACAGGAAATTACAGTCCTGCCGTCCTCTCGAGTGTCATGATGAGGTTCACGTAAAACACGGTTAATGTATTATATTATTGAGGTAGAATTGTCCGGTGCTACAGAAAAAACATTCGGGGCAGGCCAAAATATTATTTTACCAACAATGTGGAATTTATTGGCTACATATTACACAGATTATGCACAGCGGGAGCAGCAATAACCGTCAAATAATAATTCAGACAGGGGAGCTCCGCACCCCCTGCCTGCCGCTAGGGGGTGCTGCAGCGCCCTCAGCACCCCCCTTCCCGCGCCCATGCTCTGGTCTGTCAATTCAATTTGAACCTAATGGCAAGAAAGTGGAAAATGTATACAATGTCAAGGAGTGATATAAAAAGTATTGAAAGTCAGAAGAATGCCTACAATTGAATCAGGAGAGAGTCCTCAGAAGAGAGACATAAAGTAATACAAAAATACAAATGAGAGATATAGGGAAATAGCATACATTTTAAAACGTTTTTGTTTTATGCACATGAATAAAAAGTCTTAAAACAGTGGTTCAGGGCAAATCGTCAACTATTTTACATCAAACATTGCTAATGCCATTACCCTAAATCCATAAATGGTTACATTTATGTTTTCTATGTTCTCCAAACCCCTCCCCATGCACACATGAACTCTTTGGAACCTCAGAGAACGTCAAGACAATGAGATCGCCCAGGAGATTCAGGAAGAACTGGTCCGACAGGCCGAGCAGCAGCTGAAGCAGGAAGAGAAGGATGCGGTAAGGAACACGCACGCACACACAAACTGACATCTCTGCACAATGTTGAGAACATCTACCCCACCCGTCTGTCATTACTCTGAGTATAGATGTATTGTAGGGTGGGTCATTCCACTGAATCATCACTTTGTGTCTCCCCATTGTAATAAAGGTTACAGTGATCTGACCTGTATTTAAGATGAATAACAATGGTTGTGCCCTACATAAAGAGCAGAGATTCAAGTATATCCCAATTTAAATGTTTCTTCATTATAGTGTAGATACAGGTGTGTTGTCTTTTTTTAAATAAAAATAGTTTCAGACTTTCTACAAATCTTTATTCAGGAAGGTATTTTTTCAGTTACCTAAAACTCAGTTTAGGTGTGTGGACAAAAGGCCAAAACACAGAGTTATAAACAAATACATGTATACAGTAGATGTGGACTCGTAGATGTTCTGTTAATCTTTCAAAATATCTTAAATGCCCCTGATTATTTTTTTGTCCTGTTAAGTTTAAGGAGTGGTGGTTCCCATTGCTTCATAGTTCTGTTAAAATATCAGTATTTTGGACTGATTATGGCACAAACATCATCTCACCACTGTAAACCTACTGTATATGCTTGAAGCTACTCTGACTTCAAAAACTACTACCCAAAACAAAGTGACATATTTGTTACAGCTCAGCCCAAACATGGAGTTTAATATTCACGTGGGACGTCTCGTTTACTGTGGCTTTGTTTGTTTGTAGGCCATAGCTCGTAAGCTGCAGGAGAAGGAGATGAAAGAGGAAAGGAGGAGACAGAAGCAGATGGAATCAAACCTTGAGGAGGAGTACTTTGAGGATCATGGAGGTAGGCAGAGAATCACTGACTCAAGCTATTATGTGACTGTTCCTGTGTCGCCTGTCTTAAGGACCTGAGAGAAGATGTACCTCCGCCTCTGGCAATTCACTTTCTTTCCAGGTCAGGATGGGTAATGGTTTGCCTTTGATGCTCCACAGAGCTGGAGACTGTGGCACACTCGAGGCAAAGATTTTGGAATACATTTATGAACACATAATGAACCTTGAAGGCAGGATTATATGTTCCTAAAGAGAATTATCTTTATTTTTCGCTCCCATTCAAAAGGAAACACTGCTGTTAAAGGTTTTAACAGTGCTCCAGTTTTATGATGCAGCTTACATTTGCTTTGAAGACAGATTGAACCTCAGATATAAAATGAATCTGTAGGTAATGATTGTATGAAGAAAAACATTAGGATTTACCATCTAATGATGCATACCCACACATTTGTATCTGTCCTCCTTCTTTAACATTGCAGAGCATTTAAGTGTCACACATCTGTTTTGAGTATTTTCATTCACACGTCATCCCTCTGCATGATTCATCCTATTGTATTGTCTGTACATTTTTTACCGAAAGAGAAACAGTAGCTAATTAAAATGTTCCTAGTTCCTTTTAATTTCCCTGTTAAGTAACCCTGAGGATTTACCTAAAATCTGTGTTCAATGCAGGATGTTAAAGCATAAAGGAGGTTCAGCATTAAAACGGTTGCTGCCGCTGATATGTCGCAGCAGTTTGGCTAGGTCTGAATGCAGTTATTTCGAGGCTAATGTTTGATCTAGGTGGGAAAGTTATTTCATATAAGCTCATGAAAGTTAGCTCTTTAGCTGCAGTGTTGTCAGCCTGTGGATCTAATCTGGCTCATTGTCTGCCTGAACCCTTTACTGGGATTGTGTTTACATTTAGCATAACACAAAAAACAAACTGTTTCCACTTTCTCTGCTTTGTGTTTTTCTGATCCAAACACCTTTCTATTCTCTGCAATGAATACACACAACTATATAGTATTCTACTTTCTCTGCCAGTGCACTGATGTTCTGACTCTTAGGAATAGTTTTGTCTGCTCATAATAGGACTTTTAGTTTTTCACTCCTTGGCTTTGAATAGGGAAGTTAAACAGTGGATGCAAAACAGAACCACGACAGAGTAGTCAACAGAGTATCTGTTATAGATGCCTGGTTTAGATACTACAGCACCTCACCGTGTATCCACTGTGTTGACTTGAACAGGACTGAGCAAATGTCCTCAGCTGTGCGTCTGTCTGTCCTGCTGTGTCTGAATCTCATCAGCTGCCCAGGTGCTCTCCCTCTCTGTAAAGCTGTCACATTTGGCAGGTGCTTAATGGAGCCCCAGCCTGTGCTTGCTGACTGAGCCAATCTGCCCGGCTCTATTTATACTGGAATAGTTGTGACTCTGCCAGGCTCACTCTCTTTGGTTAAATAAACCCTCCCCTCTAATGTGCCGTTTAGTCTGTGTGTGCATACAACTGTAGCAGTGTTAATGTACACACAGTGGAACAATGATTCAGCTGCCTTGTTGACTCTGGCCTGCATCTAACACTGCACATGTCACAGTGAGTAACCAGACACATTTATGAAGGGTATGAGAGTGTCACTGTGCACAGAGGTGTTTCAGTTTTAGACCAAATCTCTGAGCAATTGAACCATCTTGTGCTCGTGACAGTTTCATTTGAAATCCCCTCCCACCCAATGTTATACCCTCCCTATGCTCATGTACACACAGGCAGAGACACACACACACACACATTCACACCAGATCATGTTGCTTTTCATCCGGTCATGTAATTGGCTGCTCCTCTCAGGAAACGACCGCCTGCTAGCTGTCTTAATCCAGTGGATTACAGTTGCACACAAACCAGCGGGGGGGCAGATCTGTCTCAGCTTGACTAGTAACAATTGGAAGGAAGAGAGAGGTTATTTAGAAGAGAGCAAGCACTTAGACTTGCTCTTTTGGTGTATGTATTTACCAGTCAGGCCGTTTTGTACCTGCCTTCTTTTTTCAAAATTTGCAAATCAACCAAGCCTTGTTGATGGGAGGTAAAGCAGTCGGTTAGATAACCTGAATTCCATTGAGCTGACTGGCCTCTGCTGTTTGCTTTACCCAGCTCTATGTTTTTCGTAAGAGATGATTTGTTTTTCAATCACTTCTTCGGTTTTACCTTTTTTAATTCAATCTTGCACAATTTATTTACATGCACCAATTGGGATTCTGTTTTGACAGAAGTTTAGGCTTTTTCTAAACTCAGTTGTATGTTTATACAGATCAGAGAAAAATATACAGTCAACTATTTATATAATAATGATCTAACTCTTTATTTACTCATACAAAACTATTTAAGAATCAGTTCCTTTACAGGCAAGTAAAGGTGTGTGTATATTATTGTTTTAGACACACCACACCTACAGACAGACAGAGAGAGAGACGCTGTGCTTTTGGCAGCAGAGCTGCTCACTGTGATTACTCTGAGCAGTAAGCATGGGAATTAATTAGAATAATTGTCTTGTTAGTGTAAGGGAAACTTCTGCAGCAATAGGACTCAGAGAGACACGAGGAAAGTTGGAGCTTTGATGTCAAACACTGGTGTTTTATTACAAATATCGGCCGGAGAATTCACATCACAAGTCACAGCAGCCAGAGGTTCTGACTGCACGGGTGTGTTGCCACATCAATTCTGCCCAGCCTCTCTCTCGATAGACCTTTTAAATAGCTGGGCACACTGGAGATATCCCCAACATCTGGAGACACTGAATCACTTGCCTGACTCCTAGGCTCTGTGACCGAGAGTTGACCGGTCATAAAACTGAGAATAAGTGCCGCAGCACATTCTTTAAAGGACATAACAGAGTCAGGGTTGTTTATTAACATCAACAGGCAATAACGTTAAATATCTTAGGAGTAAGAAATAATTATTCTCTGACAGTTAGGTGTGTTGTTAAAAATGTATTACGGTTGTACCACAATGCCATTTTGGACTTGCAGGCGTTACAGATTGCCAACTGCAATTGCCGTCTTTTTCAACCACACTGAAGAGCTTAACATGAGGGGTGTTACTTCACATGTTGTTTGTTTACTACCATAAGTCTGAAGTATTTGGAGCTTTTTTTATTCTTCATGAAAAATTGCATGAATATTATCGTCTTTATTTAAAGCTCCAAACACTTTAAACTCTGACGCTGTTTAATCCCAGGGTAGTAACCACATCTCTGGACTTTCTGGGAGCAGCCTCTTCCTCCACTCTTAACATCCATAGCATGTACTTTGTGTTTCCATGAATCTCCTCACATGGGTTATGTCTAACTTACAGTACTAACCATCTTAGCTTACATCAGTCCTGTGTTTTTTGTTTACGTTTTCTATGTTCTCATCAACCATCCTCATCATTCTATCCTCGCCGCCTTCCTCCGACCCTCTCTGCTCAGCTGCCAGACGACACCTTGACCCCGACAAACACCGGCGTCACAAATCCAGTTCCCCAGGCCGACATGATGCTTATGCTCCAGTGAGCTCACATCGTGATTACTCCCCTGAATATAGCTCAACGCAGCCCAAAAGGAGCAGGTACCCAAGACAGGACCCAGCGGCACCCCACAGCTACTCCCGATACCCCGAGCATCCCCTAGTGGCCGAAGGAGGGCGGAGCAGGCACGCAGATCCCTACCCAGAGCACCTGCTGCCCTCTAAAGGCAAACATGGGGACAGGTACCCAGAGTATGAGCCCACAGAAACTGGAAGGGGAGAAGGGGGGGACGACACAGTGGTCAGGAGGAAGGAGAAACCGGGTAGACCACCTCCACCACAGAGCACCATAGAGAGAGACAGAAAAAAAGACAGGCAGCATGACCGAGACAGGGGCAGAGACCTGGACTGGGAGAAACACATGGTGAAAGATCAGAGGAGAGAGCAGGACCCCAGGGGGGCGAGAGCAGGAGGAAGAGAGGATGAAAGACAGAGAGAGAGGGACAGGCCGAGACAGAAAGACAAAGACAGACAACGAGTAAGAACAATGAGCAGGGAGAGAGGATTCGAAGAGGATCCGGGGCACAGCAGGGACCGGCCGAGGGAGGGCAAGGCGTCTTGGGAGGAGGAAGTGGAAGACGGTGAGAGGGAGAGGAGGGCTGGGGTCCGGCTGCGTGTCCACTCCGGCCCCGAAGATGTGTTTGATGATCTGGAGTTGGAGGGCGGGGGTCCTGGCAAGGAACGCAGTCATTCTCACTCCAACGGAGAGACAGGTACCACCCTGAGCCCCCCCCCCCCCCCCCCCCCCCCCCCCCCCCCCCCCCCTTGGGCTCTGTGGGGGAGTTTGTGTGGTGTGCGGCTTCTTGCTTTCAGGTGGTGGGTTCATCTAACTTTGCAATCGCTAACAAAGACACTGATTTCCTCCCTTCTCATGAGGTCCACCACAGTCACTTCTGAAGACTGATGTGATTCAAATGATGGTTTGAAATGATTTGTTGTTGTGCTGTGGGGTTTTTTCATTCTTGTAACGTGTGCTGGGTTGTTGCAGTGAGCAATGAAATGATTACACTGATATTTTGTGTGTTCTGATTTTGTCGTAGATTAGTTAATTTATTTTGATGACCTCAAATCTGGTTTTCTCAAAGGGTTTCAGGGCTGCGGAGCTGGTTGTATTATCCCAAAAATGGTAAAAACATTTAACCAAACACACTGACACCAGCAGAGACGCACTGCAGCCCTTTGCGGTGCCTCACCACTTTAATACAACTATAATTGAATTACTCGATCAGTCAGAAATGTTTTTTCATGAATTGAATAATTCAATTTGTCATTACTTAAAGGTAGAGTAGGTAATTCACTTCAGAAACACTTTTTGTTATATTCCATGGAATGCTCTTAACATCCCGATAGCAATGAATACATGAAATGCTTTGACAATAAATACATAAAAAAATGTCATCTGTGGAAGCCGTAGTACTGTAAAAAGCACGACCAATTATTTTAGCCGGCCCGGCTAAAGTAACTGGATGGCCTACCTGCCTGTCAGCCTTCCATCTGGGCACAAACTTATCTCGTGCCCTCATTGGTCATGTGTGTGTTGGAGGAGGGGCTCTGTAAGGAAGTCTGAAGGAAGAGGCAGATCTTTTTTGGCTGCGTACTTTCAAATTCTAGCGCACTCGAGCTGGTTTCTCCATTCTTACCTACTCTACCTTTTAGAAAAATGTCCATAAAACAATCAGAAAATAAATAAGTCTAAATAATTAAAATATGCTGATTATTTGAAGATGGAAAGAATAATTTGATCTATTGTTAACCTTACTTGCCGACCTCCACAGGTCGTATTGTGCACCGAGGGAGCGGAGCAGTGGTTGGAGAAGACTTCGGAGTGACTGAGGCCACCAAGGGGTTAACGAAGCTCGATATCCGTGAGCAGGAGCTGAAGGACATGGAGGTGGCCAGGAAACTGCAAGAGGAGGAGATCAAGGTGAGGAAGGGAACCTGAAAAAGTGTTAGATATTTTTTCTGCATGTAAAAGATGAAGGTAAAATAAATATAAAACCCCCTTCACCAAATCTTATTCTAAATAAGTTTTATTAAAAATAAAATATTCAACCGTTAAAACTACTGTAGACTAGAAAAATGTAATTCACACAACATGTTCAACAACTCTTCCACCTATAAAGATGCTATGATCTGCTAAAGGATCCCAGAGTTGTGCATTTTAAAAGTGCACACATCAATAGCTGGTCATTACTTAACAAACTCAAGCACTTAAACCTAGTACCAAGAGCTACAAAGAGCCACAGCCAGCTGATTTTAGATCTACAATATAAATCCATTATCAAATAAAGGCTGACATCAAAATAATGATCTAACTAATACTATATCACTTCTTCATACTTGTTGACTGGTGGGAATAATAGGTAGCTTTGAGGGTCTTTGGCATGGAAAAACATCTTTAACATCTTTAAGATTTTAGTTTAGATTGTCAAAATGATGTGCTCAGTTCACTTTTTATTTAGCATGCTTAAGCAACCCAGCTTTAATATCTGGAGCAAATACTGTAGGAAAGAAGCACCAGAATGGCACATGGTGATAAAGTGAAATATATATATATATATATATATATATACTATGTGATGTAAACGACTGAAGCCTGAAAAAACAAACTGAAAGGCCTCAATCTCGGCCGTTTCCTCTGTTGGAACAACGTGTTCCACTCGCTGACTTTTTCATTGTTCTCTGGTTTCAGGCCAGCAAGATGCATGTGCGTTCAGCTCAAGTTGCGCAGGACGAGGTGAGTCTGGAAACTTTTCTTATGCTGTCCTTCCTCTTTTTTTATATATATCCTTTCATTTCCTGAGCTGAGCCAATTGAATCAGCTTCATTTTCATATAAACGAGTCTACGAGGCCATTTCTCAACCAGATTCTTTCTGGACCTAGGTTATGTAAAAAGTAATGTGATGTCCTACTGTACTATGGCATTTTATTATTATATATTAAATGGCTGTGTATAAAAATCAATGCATTGCCCACACATTAAAGGCACAAGGATGTGGAGGTTTGTTCTGTGTTAATTATCCAGTTGAATTGGATATGTCTGATGTATCTGACAGGAAATTGCCCGACTGTTAATGGAACAAGAGAAGAAGGAGTACAGGAAGAACCGAGATCGGGAGAAAGAGCAGGAGAAGGATAAAGACAGGGAGAGGTATGCCCAGGAGAAGATGGCATATGAAAGGGGGCGACCAGCGGGAGACTACCGGGTAATTTGCTCTAACCAAACTCATTTTAAAACATTTGCTTTTGAGTGAAATATTTTTGCAGTTTTAGAAAACGATTTTTGTTTCCACTGCGGTACTGGAACCATAATTTGTGTTGGTTTCCAGCCCAGCTCGGAGGAAGTGGTCCGGCCCAGAACACGAGACGAGCAAGAACACCAGCGGCAGAGGCACCACAACAAGCCCTCCAGGTACACACTCATTTCTCTTAACACCAAATATTTCCAGTCAGTCAAGAAACACAATTATCTCATTAATGTTCTGTTTTCTCCGTCTGTCTCCGTCTGTCTCTGTCTGTCTCCTTCTGTCTCCTTCTGTCTCCGTCTGTCTCCGTCTGTCTCAGGCCTCCCCAGCCTCGTGGACAGGACTATGAGAACGTGAATGCTGGCTACGGCTACTCGGACCATGCCCCCCCCCGCGCTCCCACCAGACCCGAGGCTCATATCAGAGGTATATTAACATTACAGCTTAGTATTTTACTAAAGTTTATCCTTTTGAACCTTCAAGTGATTGTATTTTTGCTTCAAGAATGGTGGACTGTCCTGACTGCACATATTCTGTACTACTGTAGAAAGTAGTGTTGATTTTGAATTTGCTAAAATAACAATTAGGACAATAAATGTTCTCAACTCACACACCTTCCCATAATGTATGAATCCTGATTTATAAAAATGTGTTTATATATACTGTATATCAGTTGAGTTGTGGCTTTTAGATAATGCCTATTTAAGCAGCTGGGAATGAAAAATCTTCCAATATTGCTAAAAGGTTTTTATGCTTAGCGGAGTTAGAAAAGTTGGTGAATTGATGAAAGCAAAATGCGACAAAGTCCAATAGAAACCGATTTAGAGAATAAATGACGTAAATAAAGCATGTGACTTTTGTCCACTGAAGCTTTTGTCACCCTGCAATGACTTTTGTTGCATAAAAAAAAGACTGCAACAATTAATTGAATGTCTGTATAGCTTTTGACTACTTATCTTTCAATTGACTTGTCCCTAGCTCTGCTTCAATGAACAAATACATGATCAAGTCCTAATCAGGGAATGCTTGTTTTTACAGTGCTGTTTTTGGCCCCCAGGAAGAAAAGATCAAAGTTTCCTTTCTCGACGAGTTGACAGTTGAGAGCTAACGGGGAATATAGGGGGGAGAGGATACAAATAGGAGACGCTGCTGCTTAAAGTCTGAACCTTTAGCTCTACGCACACGCCCCGGGAAGTTATATTTAACAAGCGTGGTTTATGTTTCAAGGAAAAATATAAGCGTTATGTGAAGAAACCAAAAGCAGAAGTACGTTCCGGATCTCAGAGAAGACGAACTGATGTCTGAAAGTTGCAGTGCAGAAACACTTAGATGCAGCGTGACGTGTCAGTGCTGATAGATCTGTCTGTCCTCCCTCTCTGACAGGTGCCTATTACAAGCGGTGACTCCGGCTCTCTACCCTGTCCAGACATACTGTCAGTCCTCCTTCGTCCTTTATTTTTTATTTATCTTTTTGTTTTACTCTCTGTTGACCAAAAGCTTGTCGGCAATGGGATTATTTTCTCTCTTTTTTTTTTAAAATACCCTCCAAAGTTGGCCCGGAGTTAGGTAAGTGGGTCTCTGAGTGATGCAACTACACTCATCTGTCCTTTTTTTATTTGTAAATTGTGTTATTATTTATTTTAACTGACTCAACATCCAGACAAGCCAAAAACCTTGTGACACAAACTCCCCCTGATTCTTAGCTGTCAAAAAGTAGAGGCTCATCCCCTTCTGTGGTCAACATGTGCTGATGCTCCTGTCATCACAAGGGCTCAACGCCTCTGCTGGATATGACCGTGCAATCTCCAAATTCCTCTCATGGACGTGCCTGCCTGGTCCAACACGGCTGCTAGTGTCTTACATACCAACATGGCAGCTGCTTTATACCTCATGCTGCAGTTCTGTTGTCTTATCATGCTGTACTACGAGGCTCCAGGCCCTCTCCATGTGCCACACAGCGTACCACAAAAATAAGCCTTTATCAAGATGCTGGTAGTTTTGCTTCGACATGTTTTACCACCTTGTTCCAATGCAGAGGAGGTGGCGCTTTGTGATGATCCATGGACTTTTAATTGGCTGTAGGCTGTCTTCTTCTTCTGCTTGAGAGGGGCACTTTTTAGCCCCATTACCCTTAAAACTGTGGATGGATGATATTCTGTGTATGACTCACTGTTTCTATGTGCATGCTTACTGAAAGTGTACAACTGTGTACATGCATTTCAGCTCTATACCAAGTTATCTGGCTCCCTCTTTATTGTTAAAGCCACAAAAAGCCAATAATATCTCTCTCTTTGTGAATGAACAAAATATCTTAGCTCATATACTACTGTGAAATAAATCACTTTCCTGCCATTATTTCGTATCAGCTTGTCAGTCACAAACCAAAACTGGCCCATAAAAGAACCAGTACCCAAATGAAATGCATGTACATTGCTTGTCTGTGTCAAAGCTGAATTCATGCTTGTGCTTATACGCACTTGTTGTGGGATTTGATATACGCTCTTTTATTTAAAAGTAAATATCACATTTTTGTTTCTTTTTTAATTGCCACCAAATTATGTTCCCTAGAATGAAAAATACAAGATTCTCTCATTAGTAGTCCCTCGATTGTGTGTCCAACGTTTCTTTCTTTACCACGGTTTTGTTAGTTTTTCCGATTATTTTGTTTCTTTCATTTCCATTCCCCAAAGCTTTCCCGCAGTAACTTCGATCTGCTTCTTTGTCTGAAGCTCAAAGGCAGCCTTCATTTCCTGCTGGTAGAAAAACAAACATTCCCACAATGGAAGTGCATCTGGATGGAGGGAAATCGGTCAGAGGATCAGTTTAAATAAATATAACTGCTCAAAGGGACCTATTTTAGTGTTTTTATTACTCTGGGATCCATTATTTTCTGTTCATATTGAATAATAAGGATGTTAAGAAAAGTAAAAAGCACATTCATGCTTTTGAGTTTACCGAAACGTTTGTGATTCTGTCTTTCCAACATTTAGTGCTGCCTCCAAGTCCTCCTGTTGTATTAAAATGTCTTCTTCCAAAATGATTCCCTCCCTGTTCAGAGAAAGTGTAAGATGTTTGTATTGCCAAGGACAAACAAGCAGATGTTGTTGAAATATGATATGTGCTAGTTGCTGTTGAAATAATGAGATTCGTGCCATATGTTTGTAATTTTTCAGGGACTTGAAAATGGGAAAAACGTAGAGTTGTGGTTGTAGCAGAGAAACCACACCTACCGAGGTGGGACTCCATATTTATTATTTGGTGAGAGCACCACCTTGTGGACATGTTGACAATTGAAACAACACAAATTATATCTGATTGGAGTCTTAGTGAACTTGTGGATATTGTGCATCAGACATTATTTTGGAATAGTGCTGTCAACAAAGTGCTACATACATATTTTCTTTAATCCAGGGCTTGTATGCAATCTACCAATCATGAATCAGCACATAATGTGTTGGCATTTGCTGTAACAGATTTTTAAAGTAAAACAAATGAAGTTGATTTTACCTATAGCATCTCAAAATGTAATAAACTTCAGCATTTCCACCGTTTGTGCATTTGACTCTTTTCATTAAGTCACATTTTGGTCACTAATACAAAACCAACCCAATATAACGGCAAGACGTGAACATGTGACGATTTACCATGCTGGGAGACGTGAAGATGTCACGATTTCGTCCCTTCAAACGTTACAGTTACACGGTATTGTTAACCCATGTTAACCAGTGGAGAAATAACCGGAAATTCCAAGCAAATGTCAATATTAATATAATAGTGATTTATTTTGTAATAGTCACACTCGATTACGCCGATGTTCTTGTTGCCCCAGCTGGTCGACACCTCTTTTAGCAGAAACAAAGGCTACATTAATGTATTAAATTGATGTTAATCCATGCGTGTGGATGTGGAATTAACGGACGTGACGTTTATACATTGAAGTCAATGGAGAGAGAAAGGTTATCTTTTGATCCTGTTTGAATTGTGCCACGAATGACACATATGATGTTTGTCAATTTAAAAGAACATTTTACAAGTCAAAAAAATAAAAATGTGTCGTAAAACTGTGAAGTTACACATTTGTTTGTGTGAAACCGCTCAGTGAACTACAGGTCTCTGGTCTTACACAAAACGCGTCACCATCACAAAGACGGCCGTCACGTTAGCAAATTTCACCTGTTTCTTTCAGAATGAGGCGAAAAGTATAAAACGAGGTGAACATCACTACAAGTCTGGGCATGTTGAGAGCTGTACATACACGAAAGGGGAGTTAGTCGGTTCTGTAAGAGCAGCGGGACCGGCTTTACAAGGTTTCGGTGAGTAATATGAGTGCAATGTGTAACGTTAATTTCAGCTAGCTAACATTAGCTAACAAGGTACACTAACGTGTTTTGTTTTAGTAACTAGTTTTCTCCTTAAGAAATTCATGGTCTCTGTGTATGCTGTGGATAACATTAGTGTTCACAAGAACAAGGTACACTCCCGTGTTTTGTTTTAGTTGCTCTTCAGATTGAAGCGGCCAGTTTTATATCGACTTTGATATTTGAGTTTATTTGCTGTGTGTAGATTCAAGGATTTTGGTTATCTAGGCACAGCTGTGTGTGACTCCCTCTGGTACACTGGTATGTGTTTTCCTAATGTAGAGAGCATTAATTAATTAATAAACTACACACTGAGTCTAGATCCTGACCAAATCCTTTTTTATTGTTGATCAAATGTTTTTCAAAAATGTATTCATTGTAGTGCCGAGAGATATGGAGTCAGAGGCGGTGCAAGGAAGGTGCAAGAATAGTAATTTATTCACAAGCTGTAAAGGACATGTTGCCGGGTCGACAAGAGAGAGCCAAGAGGGTACACACTATTTATAGGTAACCCATAACATGTCCGTGTGAGAACAATAACCGCAACCGTAGTTCCAAGTTTGAATTATGTCCCAGTGGTTAAATAGGTGGTCACCACACAAGCCCCCCCAGAATTCAAACATGGCAAAAAAATATATATCCCCACGTCCGTGGAGGAAGCACCACAAGGGCCGAGGAGGGTGGGGCCGCAGGTGAGGACCGGGCCATGGAACGGGCCACGAAAGGGGGCCGCAGGAGAGGGCAGGGGCCCTAACGAGGGCGAGGGCACCCACACCGGGGGCGGGCCGTCGTAAGGGGGCCGCAGTAGGTGTCGAGGAGAACCCAGCAGGAAAGAGCGCAACCCGGCCGCAGGCAGACGCACAACGGCGGCGGGCACGAAGTCCTCGGCAGGCTTCGCGGTATCCCCGGGAGAGAGGAGCAGTCCCCCCGGGAGGAAGGAGCGCAACCCGGCCGCAGGCAGACGTGCAACGGCGGCGGGCACGAAGTCCTCGGCAGGCGTCGAGGCATCCCCGGGAAGCAGGAGAGCAACCCGGCCGCAGGCAGACGTGCCGCGGCGGCGGGCATGAAGTCCTCGGCAGATGTCGAGGGATCCCCGGGAAGCAGGAGAGCAACCCGGCCGCAGGCAGACGTGCCGCGGCGGCAGGCATGAAGTCCTCAGCAGGCGCTGAGGCATCCCCGGGAAGCAGGAGAAGCCAGACAGGGTCCCGGAGCGCGCCACCCATGGGCCGATGGAGCATGGGCGACGTCCGGAACTGTCGAGGCGAGAGGGGGTCCAGGAGTGCGCCACCCAGGCGCCGATGAACGTGAGTGGCGTCTGGATATCCCCGGAAGGCAGGAGAGGCCAGACAGGCTCCGGAGCGCGCCACCCACGGGCCGATGGCAGCATGGGCGACGTCCAAAACCGTCGAGGCGAGACGGGGTCCAGGAGTGCACCACCCAGGCGTCGATGGAAACGTGAGTGGCGTCTGGAACCGCCGTGGAGGTGGTGAAAAAGGTGAGAGTGAAGAAAAAAAAACTCAAAAGGGCTGATAGCCGTTAGCACTAGCCGTCGTTAGCCCCACGTGGTTAGCCGCTAGCTGCCAGCCATGGGTAGCTGCCAGCCGTCGTTAGCCCCACGTGGTTAGCAGCCGGGACGTGCAGCCGCACGCCCCGAAGAACAAACCCATGAGGTAGCAATGGGGTTGCTGGTCGACCCAGCAGGTCGTGCATCGTCCCCCCGTTGGATAGAAAGCCGATGCGGGAACGGCGAGCAACGTCTCCTGCCTTCTGCGGAGCGCGCACCGAGCCTCAGTCCGCGTGCCGGTGGCAGCCACGGACGTCTCCAATCAAACCCCGGCATTTCGAGAAAGGAACTCGAGTTCCTTTTGCCGTGTTCGGCTCCGTCCCGGAAACTTCTCAAGACGTATCAGGGTCACCAGTGTAGTGCCGAGAGATATGGAGTCAGAGGCGGTGCAAGGAAGGTGCAAGAATAGTAATTTATTCACAAGCTGTAAAGGACATGTTGTCGGGTCGCAGCCCGGGTCGACAAGAGAGAGCCAAGAGGATACACACTATTTATAGGTAACCCATAACATGTCCGTGTGGGAACAATAACCGCAACTGTAGTTCCAAGTTTGAATTATGTCCCAGTGGTTAAATAGGTGGTCACCACATCATACACATTTAGAAAAATACAATGTACAATCACAACCAATACAGCACAAATTACAAAAAATACAGAAAAAACAAACAATAACAACAATCAGACAAGAGGACAAAACTATGGAAAAATAAACCCTCCCACCCCCAGATCCGGACCATCCTTGTATTATTGCTCATTCAATCTATTATAGCATGCTAACAAATGGTACTTACTTTATTTTTACAGATCTGCATGGGAGACGATGGCGCGATGCAGAGCGCTGTCTGTGATTGTGCACAGGGGATGTACAAATGCAGCCACGCTGCAGCATTGGCAATATTTGCCATGTGGCAGATCAGCTCCACAGATGTTGAGTGCCAGTGGAGGAAGCCTGGCACTTAAAAAGTAGTCCAGCCGGTGTCTCAACTTTACCAACAGCGAGAGGAGACATACAACCCACTGGCCAGAGACATCGCCAACTGTCAACTGGGGGGTTGTAAACTAGGCCGAAGGAGGGGTGAAGGCTTTTGTGGAGGCCTATCAAGTGACAGTGTTCGAATCGAGTCTGGTCTCTTTGTGAGTGAGTCGGGTGTTTTGGGAGCATCACCCGATGGACTTGTGCAGCCATCTGCCCTGCTGGAGGTGAAGTGTCCACACAGCCAGAGGAACATGACCATCACGGAGGCAGTCCAGTTACCATCCTTCTGTCTCCGTGAGGAGGGTGGGTCATATATTCTCAAGGAGAATCACCCATACTGGCACCAGGTCCAAGGGCAGCTGCACATCACAGACCGGAGTCTCTGCTACTTTGTTGTGTGGACCACGAAGGAGGCGATCATCATCCCCATCCCCAAAGACCCTGCATGGCATGGAAATCTCCTCCTCCTGGAGAACTTCTACACCCAGCATATGCTCCTTGTGTTGGCCAGTAGAGAGGAGGACATTTAAATAAACATACTCTTAACGCCCTCGGACTCTGCGTTGTGTTTCGTATGTGTGATGGGGTGTTATGCAGAGGGGAGGAAAACAGGACACAGCAGATTGGGATTGTGGTGGAGATGCTGAGCAGTTATTTAATTGTTGCATGTAATTATTATTATACTGCGTGCTTCTTAGTTATTCCATCTTTTGCTGTAACATGGATCTGTATGTAACTCTATATTTAGGCCCATTCCCAAACCGCCCCCTACACCCCAGCCCTCCGTTTGCGCGTTCACGCGGAGGGTCCGCCATATTGAGGGCTGTTCCAAACCAACGAGTGTGGAGCGGTGTGGAGGGGGAGTGGGCTATCAAGCCCTCAAACAACGAGTCTGCAGCGGTGCTGACTTGAGACCGGTCTCTACCTGACCGGAGTCACGCTGTGTGTGTCCGTCAGGAAACACGCTGTTTACAAGTAGTTCCAGCAAACATCCACTGATAAACTGCGATGTTAGCAACCTCATGATAACCTCATATGTTTTAACTTAGGATCGTACCTGTGTTTAGTCTAGAAAAAGGTAAATGTGTGCATTTTATTATAAAGTTGTGTACTTTTACAGACTGTTGCAAAAACTAAGAAGCTTATAAACATCAGGTTTAAAACTAAAAGAGCTTTACAAAAAAGTAACACAATGAAAGATGTTTGGAGTTTTATTTGAGTTATTAATTTACATTTTTTGTCAAAGAGATGCTGATTTGAAACCGTTGTTACATACAGTTACGGCATTTCCTGTTTCTGCCGGAGAGAGGGGAGGCCGTCCCAAAGCTTGCTGCTGTATTTACTCCCTCCATCTGACAGGAGGGAGCCTCGTTGAGCTGCGAGTGTGGCTACAGACGGAGTTCACTCCGTCACGGAGGGGTAGGGTCGAGGGAGTGGTTTGGGATTGGGCCTTACTTGTTATCTACCACACTTCCTTCTACATCATACACCCTCATTATACATGATGGTGTATATAGGATATATATATTTTTATACATATCTGTAAATTGTATAATTTTATTTAAACGTCTTTTTGATCTCTCTGTCTATAAACACAAACTGAGTAAGATTGACAATAAAGTTGACTGAAAAATATATATTCTTTATGAAAAT